AGATGTTGCCCTCGCTATGCTCAAAAAGTTGTGTCAAAAAACCTGGAGGACAACCATTTGCCCAACTAACTGTAAGAGATCTATATCAGTATCATTAATATCACATGCAAGCAAGATTCGTCTGAAGATTTTCGGAAAAAAGTCAACAGAGAACTGCCAAAAGTGCAGGATGGGTTTTGAAGGGGTCATGGTACTAGGGATATTGTAGCTAACGCTAAATGGATCTTGGCTGAAGGCTGGGAATACCAGAGGAATCTGTGCTTCATTGATTATGCAAAGGCATTTGAATATGTGGATCACAACAAACTGGCTAACTCTAAGAGTAAGGGGAATCCCAGAAAACTTGATCGTGCAACTGCGAAACCTATACTGGGACCAGGAGGCAGTAATCAGAACAAAGCAAGGAAATGTTGCATGGTTCAAAATTGGAAAGGGTAAACATCAGTGATATGTACTATCCACATAACTTTTTACTCTATATACAGAACAGATTATCCAGGAGTCTGGGCTGTATGAGGAGAAATATAGCATCAGGACTGGAGTTAGATTCATCAACAATCTGCATTATGCAGATGACACAACCCCGCTTGCTGAAAATGACGAGGACCTGAAGCACTTGCTACAAGTGGTCAAGGACTCCAGCCTCCAATATGGATTGAGGCTCAATATGAAGAAAACACCCCACAACAAGATAAAGGTAAACAATCCAACTGAAAAATGGGCACAGGATATGAACAGACGCTTCACCAAAGAAGACATTCAGATGGCCAACAAGCACATGAAGAAATGTTCAAAATCCCTAGCTCAAAGATGCAAATCAAAACAGCTATGAGATATCATCAAACCCCAGTAGGAATAGCAAAATTTAACAGAACAGCAAGCAACAAATGCTGGCAAAATTGAGGAGAAACTGGAACCCTTATTCACTGTTGGTGGAAGTGTAAAATGGTACAACCACCGTGGAAGGTGGTGTGGCGCTTTCTCAAAAGGTTGCAAATAAGGGAGCTCTGGTGGCCTAGTGGCAAGACACTGCACTGCAAATCCAGAGGTATGGGGTTCAAATCCACCAGTTGCTCTGTTGGAGAAGGAGGGGGGCAGTCTCTTCCTGTACCAGTCAGATCTGATTTGATGGTACACGTAAAAAAATAATACAATAAAAAAAATTTAAAAAAAAATTTGCAAATAGAGATACCATTTGACCCAGCAATTCCACTACTGGGAGTATACCCCAAAGAGACCATAACTGACACCCAAGCAGATACATGCACACCCATGTTTGTCGCGGCTTTGTTCACAATAGCAAGGAGTGGGAAACAAACTTAAGTGCCCATCAATAAAAGAATGGATAGAGAAGCTGCGGTATATTCACACAATGGAATACTACGCTGCATTGAAAAACAAAAAAGTCATGCAATATTATTCAAAATGGGTGACCCTGAAGGACATTATGCTGAATGAAATATCTCAGTCACAGAAGGACAAATACAGCATGGTGCCACTGTTGTAAAACAGGACTGATACCGGATTTGAGGGGAGACTGAGAAAGACAGGATAAATAATGTATACAGCGTTGAAACAAATGAGGGAGAAAACTGTTTAAAAGACATATGTGATTACATATTATTGTCATGACAGGAGTACAGAACGAAGGCTACATAGTGGACGGGGGGGTGGGGTCGGGTATGGGAAGCCAAACTACATTATATGAAAACACTTGTTCAGGAATTGAAGGAATTACAAATTTTAAGTTAGGATTTCTCTTGTGGCAGATCATAGAAAATGAGCTGTTTGTTCCCTGCAGACAGGAGACAGCTAGGGTCCCCCTAGAGATGGAATGTTACTTCCTGAGCTAGAGTTCACCCTGAGGTACCAAGGCAATCCTTAAGGTTATACCAAATTCTTGCATTTACTAATCCCTCTCTCCTGAGTCAAAGGGAAGGTTTTCAATAGAAAGAGCTTGGCTTCATTTACGAGGAATTTCTTTTATGATTTGCTTCCCCTGATTATCAATAAATACGCAGAGAAATATGACTTGAGATCTTCAGTCGAGAACTGCTGGCCTCCTGTTTTTTTGTTTGTTTTTTTTTTTAATTTTTTTTATTATTTTGTGTGCGTGTACCGTCAAATCAGATCTGACTGGTACAGGAGGATATTGCGCCTCCTTCTCCGGCAGAGCATCTGGTGGATTCGAAACGTGTTCCTCTGGGATTGCAGTACAGCTTCTTGCCACTAGGCCACCAGAGCTCCCCCTGGCCTCCTGTTTTATGCTCTCTGTTCTATCTCATTCCTGACTGACTGTCTCATTAGTAATAATTATAAAAATACTTTACCCTCAGTCTGCAACAGGGGCGTATTATAAAACAATGAAAGAATTTTTCTTTTACTTTTCAATGAGAAGAGTGTACTGGTGGGGAAAGAGGTGGGTAGGGAGAAAAAGTGCAACTATGAATAAATGGAAATCCAAAGTCTCTGTAAATTTTCATTAAAATTAATAATAATAATAAAAATTTTTAAAAAAAGAAAACAAAAATTCTCACCACTGGACCAAGTGGCAACATCAGGATGGATGGTGAAGAGACTGAAACTTTAGTTTGCTTAGCTCTAGAGTCAACACTCTTGGTACCAGCAGTCAGGAAATCAAAAGACATATTGTGATAGGAAAGTCTTCTGTTAGAGATCTCTCCAATGTACTGAAGTGCAATGGTGTCACTCTGGAGACTAAGGTGTTCCTGACACAGTCCATAGTCTTTGCAATCACCTGCTATGTGTCAGAGAACTGGACTATGACTAGGGATGATAGTAGGAGAAGTGATGCCTATGAGCTGCAGTATTAGCATATTGAATGTACCATGGACTGCTAGGAAAACGAACAGCTTCATCTTAGAGGGGGTTAAACCAGTCTGCTCCGTGGAGGCAAGAATTCTGAGCCTTCGTCTGACATACTTTGGACATACTGCAAGGAGGGACCAATCCTTGGAGAGAGACATCATGCTTGGAAGGGTGGAGGGACAGCACAAGAAAGGAAGACACTCTATGAGGTGGATTGACTCAGTAACTGGAGTAGTGGGTGGGGGTGTGTTGGAGACAGTGAGACTGGCACAGGATAGAGTAGGATTTAGGGCAGATGTACAAAGGGTCACTATGAGTCACGGGCGACTCAACGGCACATAACAACAAAATGCACATCAAAAGATGTGAACACAAAGGGAAAGAGAGATCATGAACTAAGAAAAAATATTTAGCAAAGACACATGAAACACTAAAGAACAACGAGATATGTCCTGAAAACTGAGTGGCCAGAGTACTCCTTGGAAGAAATGATGACAATGCTTCATCTTTCATAGTTTGGATATATAGCTAGACAAGATTATTCCTTAGAGAGGGACACCATATTTACACAGATGGAGAGTCAGCTTAGGAGATGAAGACCCTCAACAAGGTGGACTGACGCTGTGACTTCAGCAATGGGCTCTAGTGTTTCAAACAAGATGAAGATGGCATAACATCAGGACAGGACGGCTATTCACACAGTCACCATGTGCGTGACTCAATGGTACGTAACAACAACAGCATGTAACAAGGAACTAATAAAAAACTTTAACACCTTCAAAACAGAGAAACAAGAAAATCCAATTAAGAATAAATAGAAGTCCTACAACCAGGAGAGAACATAACAGATGAATGAGATCTTCTAAGAATCAAATCCCTGTGCATAACAATAAACTCCTCCAATAGGGTAAAAAGGAAAGTGACAGGACTGGGAAAAAATATTTGGTAATGACATATCTGATAAGGAACTCACATCAAAAAATATACAGAATACTCCACCACAACAAGAAAAAGGTAAATAACCCAACCGAAAAATGTCCATAGGATATGAACAGACTCTTCACCATAAAAGACATTTAGATGGCAAACACAGAAAACTAGAAATGTTCAAAATCCCGAGTTATTAGAGAGATGTTAATCAAAACAACTATTGGGGGGGAGGAAACAAAAAAAAAAACTATAAGATATCATCTAACCCCAGAAACAATAGCAAAGTTCAATAGAGCAGCAAACAATAAATGCTAGCGAGGTTGTGGAGAGATTGGAACCCTTATTCACTGATGGTGGGAGTGTGAAATGGTGCAATTACTATGGAAGGCAGTTTGATGTTTTCTCAAAACGTTGGAAATAGAAATACCATTTGTTCCAGCAACTCCACTACTGGGAATACACACTACGGAAAAAAGAACTGCCATCCAAAGAGATATATGCACACTCAGGTTTCCTGCTGCGTTATTTACAACAGCAAGGAGATGAAAGCAACCAAAGTGCCCATCAACAAATTAATGGATAGAAAAATTATGCTTTATCCCTACAATGAACAGTACACAGCACTGAAAAACAATGAATTAATAAAACATTACACAACATGGGTGACCCTGGAGGACATTATGCTCAGTGAGATACCTCAGTCACACTACTGTTATAAAGCAGGACCAACTAAGGGATTGAGAATAGAGTAACATAAGAGTGAATAGATAATGACTATTGCATTGGAACAAATGAAGAAAAGAACTGTTTAAAAGGAATATATGATTCAGCATTATGAGCACAATAGCCGGGAATTATAGGTACTCTGCAAAGAGGACTGGAGAGAAGAGGAAGAGGAAGGGAGTAACTGTTTAACAATGAATGAATATTTAATTTTAAATAAAAAGTTAACTGGAAGAGACGGAAGGGAAGGAGAGGGGGTAAAATGTTCAACAATAAATGAATGAAAATCTAACTTTTCTATAAACTTTCATTAAAAATCACAAATGAAAAATTTAATTTAAAAGAAACAGGACATTTCACAAAATAAGGTATTAAAATGGTCAACAAAGACATGAAGATATGCTCAACTTCATTTATGCCAATAAAAGAGATGGATAGAATCCATTTCTTGCTCATAAAATATAATTTCTTAAACCATATTACAGAGAGCCTGGAAAGGGTCATTAAAGAGTACTTACTAAAATGGCAGGATTCCTGATGTCTACTGCATAGTTGGCCTCAGAGGGCTGCATGTTTAGTTTCAAGATATTATGCAGAGAAAAGCCTTCTATTCCCAATCTGTGAAGACCTTCCATTACTCGTGCTTCATTCCGCAACACATCAGATAAGCTGAAATGAATATGTATCAATAGTAAACAAACAAAATGCTTTAAAACCTACAATCTTCCTCTTCATTTTGTCAAAATATGTAAAGCAAAGTAAGGACAGATTTGTTTTCAAGCTTATATTTATTTATACTTGTATTTATCTGTAATTATTTATGTATATATGCACAATTTGTGAATGAGCCTTAAATTTCTATTTTATACAGCTTTAAAATTTTTCTTTTATTTTTTTCCCACTGTTGTTGTTATGTGCCATCGAGTCGCTTATGACTTATAGTGACCCTATGTACAACAGCCCTAAACCCTGCTCTATCTTGTGCCAATCGCACTGCCTCTGACACACCCATCCCAATTACCACAGTCACTGAATCAATCTACCTCATAGACGGTCTTCCCCTCCTGCACTGTCCCTCCACCCTCCCAAGCATGATGTCCCTCTGCAAGGATATGCCCCTCCTTACAACATGTCCAAAGTATGTCAGACGAAGCCCCAGAATCCTTGCCTCCAAGGAGCAGCCTGGTTTAACCCTCTCTAGGATGAATCTGTTTGTTTTCTTGGCAGTCCATGGTACATTCAATACTCTTCTCCAGCACCACAGCTCAAAGTCATCAAGTCTCCTTCTATCCTCCGTAGTCATTGTCCAACTCTCGATGCATAACAAGTGATTGCAAAGACCATAGCGTGTATCAGACGCACCTTAGTCTTCAGAGTGACACCACTGCTCTTCAGTACACTGGAGAGGTCCTTAACGGCAGACTTTCCCATCACATTATGTTTTTTGATTACCCGGCTACTGTTGTCATGAGTGTTGACCATGGAGTCAAACAGACTAAAGTTGTTAACAATCTCAATCTCTTCACCATCCATTCTGATGCTGCCAATTGGTCCAGTGCTGAGAATCAATGTCTTCTTGATATTGAGCCTCAATACTCAAGGCTGCAGTCCTTGACCCTCTGCAGAAAGCATTTCAGGCCCTCCTCAGTTTCAGCAAGCAAGGTTGTGTCATCTGCATAACACAGATTGTTGATAGATCTTCCACCAATCCTGACTCCACACTTCTCCTCATAGAGCCCAGCCTCTCGGATAATCTGTTCTGCATACAGGTTGAGAAGGTATGGAGATAGGACACATCCCTGGCATACACCCTTCCCAATTTTGAACCATGCCATGTTTCCTTGCTCTGTTCTGATGACGGCCTCTTGGTCCAAGTATAGGTTTCGCATTAGAATAATCAAGTGTTCTGGGATTCCCATTCTTCTTAGAGTCAGCCACAGTTTGTTATGATCCACACAGTCAAACGCTTTTGCATAATCAATGAAACACAGATAGACATTCTTCTGGTATTTCCTGCTTTCAGCTAAGATTCATCTAACATCAGCTACAATATCCCTAGTACCACGACCCCTTCTAAGCCCAGCCTGGACTCCTGGCAGTTCTCTGCTGATGTGCTGTTACACATGTCGTTTTGCGATAATCTTCAGTAGAATCTTGCTTGTGTGTGAAATCAATGATACCATTCTATAGTTTCCACACTCTGTCGGGTCACCCTTCTTTGGAATGGGAATACAGATCTCTTCCAGTCAGTCGGCCAGGGGGCTGTTCTCCAGATTTCTTGGCACAACTTGGTGAGCACATCCAGGGGAGCATCTGTTAACTGAAATATGTCAACTGGTATACCATCTATTCCTGGGGCCTTATTTTTTGCTATTTCCTTCAAAGCAGCTTGAATTTCTTCCTTCATCACCATAGGCTCTTGCTCATATGTTATTTCATTAAATTCTTCTGTGTCTGCCAGTTCCTTTTGATACAGTGACTCAGTATATTCTTTCCATCTTCTTTTAATACTTCCTGGTTCATTTAATATTTTGCCTAAAGCATCCTTTATTATAGCTGCTCGAGGTTTGAATCTGTTCTTCAGTTCCTTGAGCTTAAGAAATTCTGAAAGTGTTCAGCCCTTTTGATTTTCCCCCTCCAGCTCCAGATATAAATTTCTGTGTTTTTTCATACATTTGCACATAAAATATCTCAGACTTTTAAAAGTAAGCTACTACTTATGTTTATATCACTATTAATACCTGTTCACATAAGCACATATGCATGTGATCACAGAAAACCCTGGGAGAATTAAAACCAAATATGAAAGCTTGAAGGTACAGAGAAGATGAGGAGAATGGTCAATAAAGAAAAAAATATGTACACGTATCCTCACATCAACATTATTTACAACCATAAGAAAATGGTAAGAGCCCAAAATTTCATCAAAAAGCAAATGGACTGAGAAACTGGTACAGTCACACTATGCAGTACTAAGGATTAACAATTTAGTAAAATACTATGTAACATGGGAAAATCTAGAGAGCCTTATTGTTGAGTAAACTCAGTCTCACAAATACAAATATTGCATAATACCATTATTGTAAAAATAGATAATTAGTAGAATGTGCACATTGTTGTTCTTGTTGTCGTTAAGTGCCATCGAGTCGTAGACGACTCATAGCAACCCTATGAATGAAAGACCTGAGCATTGTTCATAGAGATTCTGGAGGAAGGTCATTTCAAAAGTGCATAAAAGTCCAAAATCAGAAGCGGGGGTAATCATTAGGACAACAGAGTTTAGTAGGTGGAGTAGGGGTAGGGTGAAGAAATGGGAAAGATTCAAAGGGGACTTTAAAAGAAGGTAAAACAGTAAACACAGATCAATGGTAATTAATTATATGGGATACAGTGTATAGAAATGATTGCATGAAACACATTGTAAATGAAGGATTGTAAAGGATACAATGTATATGAATGAAAAACAATGCAAACAAATTATTGTATGAAAACCAATAAAATATATTTTTAAAAGTCTAAGAAATCTTTGTAGGGAGTTTATAATAATTGTCAGCTGATAATATTTTAATTTTTTTAAAATTTCTATTAAATAAATCACTCAAAAACAGATATAATCTTTTTGTGTCCACCTCTATTTTACTTACTAATTATTATCTCTATAATGCAAAAAGTTAATTAAAAGGCTCAGTTTAAACAATGTAAAAAGTATCTTTTAAAGCATTAGCAACCTACTTTTGCTTTAAATATTCATTTATCCTGTCAATTATGTCAATTTTCATTCCAAAGAGAAAATCTGAATTCTGACTGCCTAAATCCCTTCTTCAAAGATAAGGAATGCAATTGAGATCTATTCAGTCTTGAACCACATTTAATAACAAAAGCAAATCACATATTCAAAGCAGACTTTTTGATGCAGATAACATTTTTAGGTGAAACTACTTCACTCTGCTCTCAGAAGCAAAACAATCTGTCCTTTGCTACATTTCCATGGAAAACTCTAGTCCAGTTCTGTTGCCTCAGTGGTAAGGAATTGTGCTGCCATGGCAAAGGCACATGGTACAAATCCATCAGATTCTCTGTAGGAGAAAGCTAAAAGATGGGCAATCTCCTCCCATGAAATTTACTAGCCCTGAAAGCCCACATCAGCTACGGGTTGCTTCCAACTCAGCAGCAAATAATAACACTGGCATCGTGGAAAAGTATTTATCCTTAAGTAGACATAGCATGGTAATACAACCCAAACCCAGTGCACTTAACTACATTTTTCGTCATGGCTGCCCTCCCCTGGTTTACAAGGCTTCATCCCTCACTAGAGGGACTGATTATTATCTACCTATAGAGTAGTTAATGAGTTTGACCAATAGGTAACACACCTTGCACAAGGGTACTTCCTGTGATTTAACAGGACAACATATTTAATCCCATCGTATCACCTACATGCATTCCCCTTCTACTGTGGGCTTTGTAAGCAGCAGCGCAGATGAATAACAATCTCAAAGTATCACAAAGCATTATAGTTACAGAGATTTTCTAGGAAATAATAAAGAAAAAAATTATCCATACCTGAATATATCCTGTGTATCTAAATCAATGTGAAGTCCATTAATGAACAGAGCTGAATCTCCAGGCTGCAATCCTAATGTTCCTTTGAAATACTAAAAGATTAAAAACAATTGTTATGGAGCAGCTACAGAATGTGTAATTAAAGCATGCCATTGTCTCTGCCTCTATTACATATGTGAATCCTGATATCATATTTTCTCCTTATTTACAGTTAGAAGTTAGCTCCATTTTGGCTCTATCACATATGTGAATGCTGATGTCACATTTCCTTATTTACTGCTAGAACTCCATCAGGTTTCAAGGTCTGACTTGTCATCTCTGGGAAGGCTAAGAAAGCAAACTTTTGGGACTCTAGAAATAAAGAGGACTAATTAAGCAGTAAGTATTAATATTTGACAACTAAGAAATGTTTGATTTTTCTTATGCGACCACAAAATAATATATTCTCTCCTTTTCTTCTCTAAATTGCCTGTAAAAGACTGATCCAGTGTATTTTCCTTGTAAATTCTTTGCCTAAGAAAAGAATCCTTCATAGGCAAAGAAAGTGATTTATACTCTTATTAATTTTAAAGCTAGAAGTCAACTTCTCTATACTCAGGGTTCACATTAGGATTCTCCTGTCCATGTGAAATTATGGATTTTACAGAGTCTTATTAAATTACTTTTAGGATTAAGAATATTATCTAAAACAATTTAAAACCCCACACTTCATAATCCTTCAAAATAAGGCACACCAAGAAATCTGGAGTCACTACATCGAGGACAGGGCATGATGGTGGTATAGTCCACTGGGTGACCAGAAAGAGCAAGCGTCTGACCATTTAGAACAAGTTGTGTACACAATGGTGCTGCAGTCCACTAAGTGACCAGAAACAGTGTGCATCGCCATTTGGAATAGCTGTGCATTCCGTGTGGGAACCAGGGCTGAGACAGTACCCAAAACCACTTGGCTACTAAGAGAAAAGATGCAACCTACCAGTCTTGTCCCCTGTACCCACCACCACCACACCAGCCACCAAAGAGATGACAGGGCCCCCATCCTACCCAATCCCTCACTATTTAGTATCTACTGCCAGGTCCACATTCAGGAGGTCTTCTTCAAAAGTCAAAGCACAGGGTTGTGTTTGGCCTGTAGATGCCCTCTGCGTAAGCAGGGCCCTCTAACTGGGGACCATGACATTCTTTGGACACTCTTACCAGCATCTTCCAGAGTCCCATTTAGATGAATTTCACCTTTCCAGAGTGCTCCATATTTGGGGATTATAGGTCAACAAAGGCTATCTTTTCACATTGGCTATCTGACTGGCTACCATACCTCTAATCGTCCCCTAGACTGTCAGACTAGACTAGACTGACAATTTCTAGACTGGTGGACTAGCCTAGGGTCCTCTGTGGACAGCAGAAACTCTATCCCAGGCTATAGGTCCCACTCCTTGATGCCCATGAGACTGGAAAAAGTGCCACTTGAGACCTGGGTGCCATTGCAGAACTCAACCACCTCTTAGGTGGGCTGAAACTCTGACCTCAATGAACACCCAAACACCAGCATTCTGCTGGACTAGTGGACACACTGTGACAGGTGAGACAGCTGGCCTCTGCTCATCACAAAAGAGACAACAGCAACTATCAGGTGATCAGTCCCCACAACTCCATGCCCCCACCTTTTTCTTCCTCATTTTCAACTTTCTGTAGATTATTACATTTTTGTCTCTTATTTTGTATTATATTTAGCTCATGTAAATTTGGTTTTTTCCTTTCAAATTTTCCTGTCATGTAGTTTCTTATCTCTATTTTTCATTTTTCTTAATAATTCACTCTCTCTTACTCATGTTCGTCTGTTTTACCTCTAATATGATTCTCATTGAGTTTGGCCTCCTTTCAGTTTTGATTTTTCTAACTTCTTTTACTGCTCAAACTTGGGAGTATTATCTGTTGTTTCTGTTTCAGTCTGTTTCCCTTTTTCTTTTGTTCCATCTACCAGCAGACAACAAGAGTATCAAATCGTACTCATATAATTCCTTCCAGGTATAATCAATCCAGTAAGACTTGCTCCTCTAGACTGACAAAAGATGACAAACAACAATATAACAAACAACAATACAACAATCAATACAACAGTGAAAAAAGAACTACACACACCTTCATCCTCTATTACAGCCTCAGAATGAAAGAGGTGAGACACTAAGAATTAGCAAGATAGCCAGTGGCATTACATACACTCCTAGTTCAATCAGTTATCAAAACAACGCTATAGAAATACATACACTAAGACCACAATGGATAAGAGACACCAGCCTGTCAAAACAGGAGGACAAGATGAAACAAAAACTGACCCAAATACAGAACCAGAAATGTTAGCAGCTAACAAAGAAATGTTACTAGATCTTCCTGACAGAGATTTCAAAAGAATGACAGCTGTCTGTACTGGATGAGGGATAAACTGAGGAAATTATAGACAAACTCCAGGACAACAGAGCAATTCTAGAAGAATTACATAAAACAATATAAGATAAATACATAAAAACTTGGGGGAGAACCCACAAAAACAGCAAACTAAAATTCAGGACATTTAAGTAAAAAATCTTCTCATCTAGCTAACACATCAGACGAAAAAAACAGCAGTCCAGACGCAACAGAATACAAACCCTCCAGTAATAATGCCTCAGAAGAATATTCAGGAAAAAAAGAAAGAAAATGAAGTATAAGAATTACATAGGAAACCACCAAGAGGAGTAGTTTACAAGTGATTGGTATTCCAGAACAGAAAAACAAAAGAAACCACAGGAGATCATTGAAAATACGCTTTAACAGCAATCCCATAAAAAGTGGGCTTCATAGCAGCTATGATAATTAAACATCAGAAAAACATTTTAACCCAGGACATCAATAAACAGAGGGGAAACGTCACATCTCAATAGATGCAGAAAAGGTATCTCACAAAGTTAAACACATTTTGTTCACAAAAACACTTTCAACTGAAATATAAGGAAAATTTCTGAATACAAAACCAATGATCAATATTATTCTCAATGGAGACATTTGCAGATGAGAACAAGACAAGGTTGCCCTTTATCAACACTTCCATTAATAGCTAACAGGAAGTAATAGAATAAGAGGGGAAGAAAAGAAAATTTATCAAAACTAATAAAGTAAAATTATCTGTTTTCAAATAAGAACAACCCATATAGAGAAAATCCAAAACACTCTTTAAAAAAATCACTTAATCTAATTGAGAGATACAGCAAAGTGACCAGTTACAAGAACCAGCTAAAATATGCACACCCATGTTTATTGCAGCTTTGTTCACAATAGCAAGGAGTTGGAAACAACCTAAGTGCCCATCAACAAAGGAATGTATAGAGAAGCTGTGGTATATTCACACAATGGAATACTATGCTGCATTGAAAAACAAGGAACTCATGAAATACTATTCAAAATGGTTGAATCTAAAGAACATTATGCTGAGTGAAATATCCCAGTCACAAAAGGACAAATATTGCATGGTGCCACTGTTGTAGAATGAGAATGACCCTGGGGTTGGGGAGAGGCTGAGTAAGATGGGTTCAATAATGTATACTGAAATGAAACAGACGAGGGAGAAAACTGTTTAAAAGAGATATGTGACTAGGTATTTCTGTCATGACAGGAGTCTAGAGCGATGGCTACATGGTGGAGTGGACCTGGGGGAGGGTTTGTAAAACAATGAAAGAATCTTTTACTTTTCCAAGAGGGTAGTGTTCTGGGGTCAGGCGGGAGCCTTGGGAGGGGACAAATCTATGACAATGAATGAATGGAAATCCAAAGCCTCTGTAAATTTTCACTGAAATTAATAACAAATTTAAATTTTAAAAAATGAATTAAGTTAGAGTAAGGATGGCAATGGATTTATAACTGCT